CAACAGCCAAGGCCAATCAAATCTTACAGATTAAAAAAGAACACTAAATTTTTAAGGTGCTTTCAAAAAACTCTCTAAAACTTTCAGTTATACATGAAACAAGATGTTTTTGAGGTAATCAAACATACCAAAGACATTATCAAGTAAGAAGTAAAAGATCATCAGTGTCAAACTTACTTAAAATTCTTCCACTAACAGTATGAATATTTTGTTACTTCATATATGTGCATACTTAAGAAATAATTTATTGAGAGCCAACTTATTTTGATAGGAGTATCACCACAATAATACAAATAGAATAAAAATGACTTATTGCTAAAACTGTTTTAAACAAATATTCAACGTGTGTTTCTGAATATGAATCATTTAATAAATTTCATAGATGTTTATTATTTTGCTAGATGTTTTTATTATATTGAATGATAAGACTAAAAGAGTATGAATACAAAAAAAAGAAAAAAAAAAATATCAGAGGCAACAGCCAAGGCCAATCAAATCTTACAGATTAAAAAAGAACACTAAATTTTTAAGGTGCTTTCAAAAAACTCTCTAAAACTTTCAGTTATACATGAAACAAGATGTTTTTGAGGTAATCAAACATACCAAAGANACGTTTTTTTTTTTTTTTTTTTTAAATTAATCGACAAACATTTGAAAATTCTTGAGGAAATTACAAAAAATTTTTTTAATTTTTTATACAGTAAATCACTATTTTCCCTTAAATTTTACTCTGCATATTTTCTTTTTATCTAATTTACATACGTCACTTCATTGTGCCAGTACACAATAAACAAATACAACACGGTTTCGACAACATCAACAATTTATTATTATATTTATTTATTAGATGATATAATTTTACCATTTGACATGGCGCAGCTTGGTCTATGCAGCCTTTGCACCAATAAACCCTAACCAACTAACTAACTTTGTTTTATCCTGATTAATTTGAGGACCATTTTCTTGCACATATTCTTGTAACTTATTTAACCTAATAATAATACAATAAATATATGTACAACTTTTAACAAAGAAAAAATCTTTGCTTCAGTCATTTTCTTCCGTTGTTCTTTCCGTTATTTAACTTACTTTGCATATTTATTGGATTTTTTGCTAAGATAACATAATCATCAGCATATTGTAATGTGTGAATATCTATATTCTGTAGCAAAAACCTGCCTGATTTTAGGTCTTTAAATATACAGTAGAGCCTTGATTATCCGACCTAATTGGGGACTGGGGTTGGTCGGATAATTGAAAGGGCAAATAACCAAAAAGTATGAAAAAATCCATTATTAGTGTAATATTATTATTATATCCCATGTAATTAGTATATTAGTATATCACTATTAACCTACTTTGCGTTGAATTTTCATCGATGTTAAGCCTAACAAAAATTTTTTAAAATAATAATCATCGCTATTGTATCGTTAAAAATTAGAAAGTTAAGCCTCGTTTAAATACTGGCTCCCTTTCATGGTCGATCCAGTGTTGCCAGCTAAAACATGTAAAAATAATATTAAAGTAGCCAAGACATAGCCAAATATTGTAGCGCCACATCAAT